GGAGACGAAGGAGGATGGGGGGGGGGGCGGGGATAAAGCCGCAGAGCGGCTACAGAGGGTCAGCGCGTGTAGGGCAGGGGCGGCTGCTGCGAGTGCAGGCACCGTCGCGGGCGCCAGGGGCTGGTCCGCAGCGGCTCAGGGCACCGTCGCGGGCGCCAGGGGCGGGTCTGCGGCGGCTCAGGGCACCGTCGCGGGCGCCAGGGGCGGGTCCGCGGCGGCTCAGGGCACCGTCGTGGCGCCAGGGGCGGGTCCGCGGCGGCTCAGGGCACCGTCGCGGGCGCCAGGGGCGGGTCCGCGGCGGCTCAGGGCACCGTCGCGGGCGCCAGGGGCGGGTCCGCGGCGGCTCAGGGCGCCGTTGCGGGCGCCAGGGGCGGGTCCGCGACGGGCAGAAAAAAACGTCACGCGCCACCTGGGCGCGGGACAGAACGAAAATCGCCACGCGCCCGAGGCACGCGACCGGAAAAATAGCAGCGGAAGCGTGAGGCTGGCCCACAGGCCATGACTTAACAGTCTCCAATACCATGTCAGAATAGTGGCATAAGTAGGTAGTTGGGTTTAAGTGGGCCTAGGCTTAGTAGCCTAGGCCAAGGGAGTCGAGCTAGTTTGTGCCAAGGAGAGAGGATCGAGAAATGAGAGGGGAATGTACATGGGGGGGGGGGGGGGGTTCTTGGCACAGAACTCAGTGGGAAGCGTAGCGCGGTAGCGGGCGTCACTAGTGCGGAGGTGAGTAATGAGGTCAGCGACTGTGGCAAAGGCGGCAAGGTCAGGGAACAGGTACGGCAGCATGAGGCGGCTGAGGGCAGCAGTGGCAGGGGAGGAGTAGCGCACTACGACAGCGTCATACAAAGACTGAGCAGTCTTGTACTGGCCAAAGTGCGCGCGCTCAGCAGACGGCAGGTGACTACGAACAGCAAGGCGAGCAACTGCGTCACGAGTGGTCCACTGCGAGCGAACCGTACTGTCAGCAGTGGCAGCAGGTGCAGGAGAGACACCGGACGTGTGATCGAAAAGGGATACGCCGTCCTTAGAGTCACACTGAAGAAAGAGCTGCAGGTCGTCAACCCACACGTCAAAGTCAACCGCACGCCCCTCAGCATCAAAGGTAAGAACATTAGGGCTAGCCATAGCGGCAGTAGCAGCAGTAGCAGCAGTGGCAGCAGAAACAGCAGTAGCAGCAGGAGCAGCGCGGGCAGGGCAGTGCGGCTCAGTAGGGCGGCGCGGCTCGGCAGGGCGGCGCGGCTCGGTAGGGCGGCGCGGCTCGGCTGGGCGACGCGGCTCGGCAGGGCGGCGCGGCTCGGCAGGGCGGCGCGGCTCGGCTGGGCGGCGCGGCTCGGCCGGGCGGCGCGGGTGCTTACCAGGGGCGGTTGCAGGGCAGGGCCGCAGCTGGCGGTTAGGTCAGGGCCGCGACTGGGGCGGCAGCAGGGCAGGGCCGCGACTTGGCGGCGGTAGAGCAGGGCCGCGACTGGGGCAGCTGAAGGGCAGGGCCGCGACGAGTCGGCGGCAGAGCAGGGCCGCGACAGGGCGGCAGCAGGGCAAGGCCGCAGCTGGGCGGCGGTAGAGCAGGGCCGCGACGAGCAGCGGCAGGGCAGAAGCCGCGGCGGGCGGCAAGGTCGAGGCCGCGACGAGGGGCGGCAGGGTAGGGCCGCGATGGGCGGCAAGGCAGGGCCGCGGGTGGCGGCAGGGCAGGGCCGCGACTAGGCGGCTAGGTCGGGGCCGCGACGAGGCGGCGACAAGGCAAGGCCGCGACGGGCCGAGAAGGCAGGGGGCCGCGACGGGCCGTTAGGGCAGGGCCGCAACGGGCCGAGAAGGCAGGGCCGCGACGGGCGGCACTAGGGCAGGGCGCGCGACGGCGCAGGTGAGGCAGGCGCGAGGCGCGCTTCGGGCAGAGCAGGAAAATTTTTAATCGTGGTGGGCCCTAAAAAAAACGTTCCCACGAGGGAACTTGCTCAGAATACCACGTCAGAATAGTGAAGGAACGAATGACTGAACTAGCAAACAGGTGGGTACAAGTAGGAAACCTAAAAGTGTTGTACCCTATATGAACTACCCCACTACAGCCTACACAGACTATAGCATATAAGTTTGACAGGGGTGGCTACTGATGACGAGCGCGCTACGGGCGACGGGCGACGAGCTACGAGACGCGATTTAGGACGGGGCGCTCGATAGCGATTTCGGTGGGCCCATAGTCTATCGAGTGAAAATCGCTAGGGAAAACCCTAGCTAGGGTAAACCTCGCTCTATACCATGTTAAGATAAGAGAATGACTAGAAAGATGAAAGTACAAGGGAATATAAACCTAAACTAGAGAAAACAGGAACACCTGGACTACAACTAGATAAAAAATATAAAATATAGTTTGACAGTAGAGGCTGCTGCAGTGACTGAAACGGGAGCAGGGCAGCAGGGGCGCAAGAGCAGCAGAGGCGCTGAGAAAGGATGGGACGAGATTGAGGAAGTAGAACGCCCCGTGCAGAAGGAGACTGGGGAGCAACAGGCAATTGGGGTAACTTTGGCAACTGGTGCACTGCCGAAGCAAGTGGCTGGGGCTCACCTGCACACCTAGAAGAACAAAGGGGGGAGGGGGAACTGACGAAAATACTATTGTTCCTCTCGGTCGACCACCACGACAGCTCACAACCCACACATCCCTCGCGAAAGCCCCCTTAGCTACCATGGGACCTACATCGACCGGGGCTCCAAATCCCCAACACCAGAAAGGGACGCCTTCAGACCATGCCCACAACCCGAGGATCCACTCAAAGGGACTGCAATGTTTATTCATGACACAGATATCCCCCTCTCCGTCATCCCTGACCGCAACGTTATGGTGCTCGCACTGTAAACAACGCCAACAGAAGAACCAGAAACAGAAGCAGAAGCAACATCAGAAGCAGAAGCAGGAGCGAAACCCGAGGAAACCCCCGCTGAAGCATGCGCGTCTTACCTTCGTACACCCAGAGTCCATGCAACAGAAGGCCTCTGGCATCAACGACTTGGACATCCCTCACGACAGACCCTCAACAACTGCATCACCGCCGAAGTATTCCTACCATGAGCCATCATGCGACCTGATGAAATGGAGCTCAGAAACACCTCACAGCCACATGCATGCACTGTCTGCCCTGCAGCCGTGCTCACTCAGCAGCGCTTTCCCTAGCTCGAGCCCAGCACCAATAGATACGAGCAGCTGCACAAAGTGTACAGCGACTTCCTTGTCGTCGGCCTCAGTGGATTCAACAATGAATGCTACAACTTCACATTCATAGACGCAGAGATGCGCTACGTCTGGGTAGCAAAGGTACAGAACCGAAGCAGGGGATACGAAGTGTTCCGCCTCTGGCAGGCTCATGCCCAGCAGCAATCGCGGAAGAAACTCCAGATCTGGCAGACAGACGGTGCAACCGATTTCCGCATTAAGGAACTGCAGGACTTCTTTAACGACAAGGGGATTGTCCATCAAATCTCCGCAGCAAGGCGTCGCTGAGCGCACCAATGGCACACTCATGACAAAAGTGAGCGCACTACTGAAACAGTCCAGACTTCCTGTACATACTAGATGTATGCAATTCACCTCGCAATACGGCTGCACAACCTCCTCTCCACAACACCGATTAGGGGAAACTTGTCACCACACGTAAAATGGACCGGGAGAAAAGAAGACACATCAATGCTGCGCGTATGGGGCTGCGTGGTCCAGTATAGACCCACATCGGCAACCATCGGGAAGTTTACGATGGGGAGTTCACCTCGATATCAGCTATGAGTACAAAGGATGTCTCATCGTGGACCTACAAACCAGCAAGATCGCACATGCGCTCAATGTTCTGTTCTACGAACGTCTCACCCTGGTCAGATTCCACGCTAATGAACAGGCACGAGCAGACCAAGTCTACGCGCACAGGGATTGGAGGTTTGCCACCCCTGAAGACCAGGCCGCAGCAGTAATCCTCTATCGCGATGCTGCCGACGAACACCCCGGCGTAAATATTTGGCCTCACGACGACAACGTGACGACGACGACGTCGGAAGGGCACCTAAACCAGCACGAGGCCGAGACCCTGTGAGAAGCTTCCCACCTGCACCTGAATGCGATGACTACGACGGGCAGGAAGTAACCACTGAGGAGCGTCACATCACCACGATAATAGGACTATAGCTGCTCGGGCTTCACACCCCAACAACCATCGCCCCGCAAGTCATCGAGCCTAAGAATCCAAGGCAGGCTCTAACAGGACCCCACAACAAGGAAGGGGCTGGAGTCCCACGACACTTGGGTTCTCGTCGACCAATCTGTCGTCAAGGGAAAAAGGGTATTATGAGGAATTCGATGCCGACCTGGTGGTTTCCAGGTCGACCAAGTTTCCCGGGTGACGAAGTTCTGCGGAGGTGCGCGACAGTCGCCCATGTGGTTCTGGCGAAGCCGACCTCGGAGGTGTTATCCCGAGGTCGACGTGGGCGGATCAGGTGCAGTCATGGGCACATGGTCGGCTTGGCGTCTGCGTTGTACAGGTGATGAGGCACAACACGCCAATCAACTGCGAGCACCTGCGAAGCGGGTGCGCTGCTGTCCTGCGGGTGCAACGCTGTACAGCCGCCTTGCTGCAGCGTTGGCACGCCGTCGACTTGCAGCGTTGGCAGATCGCGACTTTGCACTACTGGAGCGCGGTCGACCATGTCGTGCTGGAACGCGGTCGACCGTGCTACGCTGGCAGTCGACGTGCTTGCATGCTAGCTCCTGATGTAGACAGTGTTGCTTTGCCATTGTCTACCATACGATGGATCTGTCTCTCCGTTCTTGCCCGCTACCCGCCATTCTTGCCCGCCACCCGCCATTCTTGCCCGCTACCCGCCACCCGCCATTCTTGCCCGCTACCGGCCACACGCCATTCTTGCCCGCTACCCGCCACCCGCCATTCTTGCCCGCTACCCGCCACCCGCCATTCTTGCCCGCTACCCGCCACCCGCCATTCTTGCCCGCTACCAGCTCCTGACCGTGTTCACCCAACGGCGGCGGCAGCAGCAGCAGTCGGAGCAACGTACATTTCGATCACTCGTTGCGGGTCGGCCGACACGTCGCACGTGATGCCGTGCCACGGACTGCCCGCGTTCTCGCTGCCGTCGCTGCCGCACGGATCGCCCCACGTCCACGTCTGCAGCGTTGCGGAGCGATTAAAGCCGCTGTAGATGTCCCCCAAAGCATCGACTGGCGGGAGGGCGGGAAGGTGAGAGAAATAGGTTGGAAAGGAGAGAGGGAGAGAGGGAGAGGGGGAAGGATATGCTCAATAGTCATTGCAATAACACCCCACTTCCATAACTGCAGCGCCGAGGAGCGATTAAAGCCGCAGCAGATGTCCTTCCGTGCATCGACTGGCGGGTCGAGGGGGGAGTGGGAGAGTGGCGAAGGGTGTGGGTGAGGGGATGAGGGGAAGAGGGGAAGAGGGGGAGAGGAGAAGAGGGCGCGAAGGGGTAGAGGGGGAGAGAGGGGCACGGGAGAAACATCGGGAGCGGACATGCGCGAATTCTCGCGAACTTTCGCATGCGTAACCACCAGGTCTCCTTAATCGTACGAACACGAGCATCACGCGCAAGCAACAGCAGCACCTGGGCGAGCGCACTCACCGTCTTTCGCGGACGTCAGCCCAGCAGCAAGTCCCATACTCGCGGCAACGATCAGCGCGGCGATTAAGAAGGCGGTTGGGGGGGGAAACATGTTGGGCGTGGGATACGATACGGCAGGGGGGGTGAGCGTAACTCACCGTCTTTCGCGGACGTCAGGCCAGCCGCAAGTCCCATACTCGCGGCGGCAATAAGCGCAGCGATGAGAAAGGCAGTTGGGGGGGGGAGCATGTTGGGCGTGGGGTACGATACGGCAGGTAGGGCGAGCGTAACTCACCGTCTTTCGCGGACGTCAGGCCATCCACGAGTCCCATACTCGCGGCGATTGTAAGCGCGGTGATAAGAACGGCGGCGTGGAATGGAATACATCGGCCATAAGGTGACACGATACGGAAGGGAGGGCGAGCTCGGGATGCGGTTCTCAAGGCGCCAGCGCCGCTCGAACGCGAAGTTCGCGAGGCCATTAGAGCCGAATCGGTGGAGTTCTGTGAGGGCTATTTGGTGCTACAGATGGTGCTGCCAATGCCTTCGAGGAGCACGGCGCTACAGACGCGCTACGGGCGCGCTAATGGCGTGGTATCAAAGGCGGCGTTGAGAGATACGCGCTGGTTAATATCCACCACGAGTGCTAGTGTGCGATACTTGCTAAAGACTTGCTAAAACTTATAATATGCATCGACTGCGTGTACCAGTATCGGACAGCTGCTGAAATTTCCTAAGATCTCAGAATGCGTATTGACCAAGAGTAGTGTGCGAGACATTCTAGATCTCGCCGACGTGGCGGTAGCGACGACATGGCCGAGTAGAGAACTGAAGACGAGGTGTCTCTTGCAATTCTAAATTTCTCGAAAACTATCTTTCGTAGTCTAGAATCTCTATATCTTTCTCTCACGTGAAAAACGGGCGTTGTTTCAAGATCGAGACGCCTCTTCGTGTGAATAGGGTGCGTGCGAACACACCGCAACCGAACTTGGAATGCCAGGTTACCTTCTGCGCCTTCAGTTGTGACTTCCGAATCGGTTTCCGAGTACGGGGAGACTCTCCCTTTGGCGGTCGTCGAGGTGAGCATCTGCGCCGTGTGGGCGGCAGAGCACCCTCCTCGACCTGCCTCTCCTCGACCGGTGAACAGCGAAGGCGGCATCGACGTGGGCGTCAACGCCGGGGACCAAGTTGGCCGCAGTGCGGGAGGCACGGCGAGGCAGAGAGGAGTAATCCACGCCGATGAAGTCGGCGGCGTTCAGGCGCGAGGGATGAAGTGGTCAGCGGCTGCAGGGTCCTCGCAGGGCGATGTCGGAGGACGTCGAAGCAGTGTGATGCCGTCGTCGGTGACCCATGTGACAGAGGGCGGGATAGCGCCATCCTACGGCTACTTCAAGTTCACGCCGGACAGGATCTCCGTCACCCCCCTGCTGGTTGGTCGTCTGGGTATCCTCACGTGGAAGGAGGCCATCGAGCCCCAGCTGGAGATGGCCGGGCTGAAATGCTTTGCCGACGGCACCGTGGCGATGCCGCCGGAGAGCAATCCCGAGCTGCGTGCGGAGTTCCGCGTCGTGCAGCTGCTGACCTTCACGGTCATCTCGCGGTGTTGCTCACCGGGCGTGAAGATCGCCTTGAAGTCGTGCAGGGACTACCTGGACGCTGGCCACCAGGCGTGGCACTTCATCGAGTCGACGTACCAGGTCACCGACGACCTGTACATCGGCCAGCTCGAGGAGCAGATGACGCACCTGCGGATGAGCGAGCAGGAGACCGCGAGCGACTACTGCAACCAGGCTCGGCGACTTCTCGCCAACATGAGGATGGCCGGCGTGGAGTACTCGACGGCGTCGTACATCACGCACGTCTTGAAGGGGCTCCCGAGCAGCTACAACCTGATGAAGAGGCTGTCGGTGGTGCCGGGCATGCGGGCGACGCTCAACGAGGACATACTGACCTCGTACATCCTCAGGGACGAGGCGATGCAGGAGGCTGAGCGGTCCCTGGAGCTCTTGCCGCAGGTGAACTACGCCGCCCGACGAAGCAAGGTGGTCGACCGGGGCAGCGCGGCCAGTCTGGCGGCGGTGGAAGCGGCGGTGGGAGGCCGGCCAAGGACGCTGACAAGCAGAAGTCGGCCAAGGACAGCGGTCGAGGAGGAGGAAGTCGACGTCGGAAGTGCTGGCTATGCCACAGCCCCGACTGCAGTGACCCCGACGACGACAACACCAAGGGAGGCCGAGGGAGGTCGGCCGGGCGTCGCCCACGTCGGGAGAGTAAGCTCCGTAAGGAGAGGCAGTCGACCAAGTCGACGTCGGCGAAGGGCGCCGACTCCCCCTCTGGCGGCAAGGAGTGAGGCGACGGGGAGGCGTCGTGCTCGCTGGTCGGCGTCGTGGAGCCGACCGTCTCGCTGGCGCCGTAGGCCGGTGAGGACTTCCAGGCAGTGGCGGCAGCCGTGCAGGCGAACCCGGCGGTGGTCCTGCTCGACAGCGGCTGCTCGCACCACCTGATGGGGACGAAGGAGATCTTCGTCGACATGGGGCCAAGCGGCGACGTCAAGCACGTGCGCGGCTTCAATGGGGCGCGGCAGACCGTCCAGGGCCGCGGGACCGTCGCCCTGCAAGGAGAGGCCGAGAAGCAGGTGCTCATTCCCGACGTGCTCTACGTCCCGGGCGTGCATGCCAACCTGATGCCAGCCGGCCAGCTGAAGGAGAGCGGCGTGAAGCTGCAGGACGAGGGTGACGGGATGTTGATCGTCTCGGCGACCGGGGACGTCCTAGGTCGGGCAACATACACCGGCCGGGTCCTCTGCACCGACCTATGTCCGTGCACGGCGACGTGTCAGAATAGCAAGCAGAAAGTTAGAAACAGAAAGAGAGGTTTCACTAGCAGCAGATAGGACACATATAGCAAACCCTAATTTGGGCTGTACTCACTATAGAGTACCCCACTGCAGACTAGACAATTATAGCATTCTGACACACCCCCATAGGCAAAGTGGGGTATGATCAGCACAGCAAGCAGTCGCATAAGAAGTTCACAAGCACAAGCAAAGCTAGAGGCAGTCACACAAGGCAAGTGAGGAGGAGGAGGGACTGTGAGAGGATTGGAGATAGGAGGCGACGGGTGAAGCCGCAGACACACGGGCAACAGGAGCGGCGCGCACGGTGGCTACCGGAGCAAGGGCCCCGGACTACAGGAGTAACTGGCTCCGCGGCTAAGACGAGCGGCAGGAGCAACGGACCCACGGGCAACTGGCGCAGCAGGCTCATACTGGGCTACCGGAGCAAGGGCCCCGGACTACTGGCGCTGCTGACGTCACGACGGCTACCTCCGCTCAACCTCCCCCAACTGTCCCACACCCCTTTCACACACCCCTTGCTGCACCCCTAGCTCCACTCCCACGACACCCCCCTAGTGCCACTCCCTCGGCTCCCACACACCCACCCCCCTCAGCGGCAGCTGCAGCAGTGGGAGATGGAGGAGGAGGAGGAGCAGGGGACGGCTCACACACCCGCCACTCCCATACCCGCCACCCCGATACCCTCCACCCCACGGCTGCACGCGCAGCAGGGAGAGGAAGGAGAAGGGGGGGAAGAAGCTGCCCCGCGGTGCATGAGGGCAAGGGACGGCGCGCGGGTCCACAGGGCAGCGCGCGCGGGTCCACGGGGCAGCGCGCGCGGGTCCCCTGGGGCGACGCGCGGGTCAATGGGGGCTGCGCGCGGGTCGACGGGGCAGCGCGCGCGGGTCCCCTGGGGCGACGCGCGGGTCGACAGGGGCTGCGCGCGGGTCGACGGAGCAGCGCGCGCGAGTCCCACGGGGCGGCGCGCGGGTCGACAGGGCAGCGCGCGCGGGTCCCCTAGGGCGACTCGCGGGTCGACGGGGGCAGCGTGCGGGTCCCCGGGGGCGGCGCGACGGTCGACGGGGGGGACGCGCGGGTCCCCGGGGTGACGCGTGAGGCAGTAAACCGCCGCGCGCCTCGGGGCGCACGGCGGGCAGAAAACCACCGCGCGCCCCGAGCGCGCGACGGGCAGAAAACCGCCATGCGCCCCAAGCGCGTGGCGGGAAGAAAAAACGTCGCGCGCCACGGGGCGCGCGACAGACAGGACAGCAGCGGAAGCAGGTGGGCCCACAGGCCAAGAGCGTACTCGCTCTGATAGCATGCTAGAATAGCAAGTAGAAAGTTCGAAACAGAAAGAGAGGTTTCACTAGCAGCAGATAGGATACATATAGCAAACCCTAATTTGGGCTGTACTCACTATAGAGTACCCCACTGCAGACTAGACAATTATAGCATTCTGACACGACGTCGACGTCGACCACGATGGAGACGGTGGCTCTGCGGACCATCGCCACGGCAACGAAGTCGACGCCGGCCAGGTGGCACGTCAGGCTTGCTCACGTCGGCGTCGACACCATCACAAGCTCGGCGAAGCACGAGATCGCCACCGGCCTAGACGTCAAGCCGTCGACCAACACTGACTCTCTGTGTGTCTCTTGCGTCGGCGGGAAGCTAGCGCGGCACACCTTCCCCGACAAGGGCTCGGACGCCAACGACGCACTGGCTGTCGTACACATTGACCTGTGCGGGCCGTTTAGGGTGGCTGCCAAGGATGGCAGCCTGCACTTCTTGCTGCTGAAGGACCGGAAGACCCGCTACGTGTGGGTGAGGCCGGTTGCCAAGAAGTCTGACGTGTTGCGGGAGTTCGAGAAGTGGCTTGTGGTAGTTGAGCGGCACACAAAGAAGTCTGTGTTGATGCTGCGCTCAGACCGGGGCGGGGAGTTCCTCGGGTTCACCAAATTCGTGGACGGCAAGGGAATCGTCCACGACTTGACCTGCCCCTACACCCTGCATCAGAACGGCATGGCGGAGCGGGAGATGCGAACGGTGGTGGAGTCGGTGCGGACGATGCTGCTGCACATGGGTGTGCAGCACCACTGGTGGCACCTCGCTCTGCGCCAGGCCGTCTGGGTCCGCAACTGTCTTGAGAGAACGCTGCCGCCGAGGACGACGCCGTACCAACTGCTCACCGGGAAGAAGCCCGACTTGTCGCTGGCACGAGTGTGGGGCTGCATGGCGCAGTTCATGGTCCCCGAGCAGCAGCGTGGTGGAAAGCTGAGGCCAAAGGCCAGGTGGGGCCTTCACCTCGGTGTGTCAGAGGAGAGCAAGGGATGGGAGATCCTGGACGAAGCACGAGATCGCCACCGGCCTAGACGTCAAGCCGTCGACCAACACTGACTCTCTGTGTGTCTCTTGCGTCGGCGGGAAGCTAGCGCGGCACACCTTCCCCGACAAGGGCTCGGACGCCAACGACGCACTGGCTGTCGTACACATTGACCTGTGCGGGCCGTTTAGGGTGGCTGCCAAGGATGGCAGCCTGCACTTCTTGCTGCTGAAGGACCGGAAGACCCGCTACGTGTGGGTGAGGCCGGTTGCCAAGAAGTCTGACGTGTTGCGGGAGTTCGAGAAGTGGCTTGTGGTAGTTGAGCG